TTACTTATAAAAATAATGGAATTCCAGCGAAGAATTTTACTAATTTTAAAGATAATTGAATTCTTCTAAAATTTTTATTATATTATGAAAATAATATTAAATGTTATAACGTAGAATTTTACCAAAATTTGTTTTCAATAATTGAATTCTTTTAGGAAATATTTGAAAATAATTGAATTTCGGAGAAGAATTTTATTATTTATAAAGATAATTGAAATTTTGACCAGAATTTAAAAAAAAATTTGAACATATTTGAATTTCTGCGAAGAATTTTATTACTTTTGAAAATAATTGTATTTCTGCAAATTCTTATATAAATTCTAAAAATATAATTTTTTCCAGTATTTTTAATAAAAATCCCTGACTTTTCCCTCATTTTCCTGGCCAAATTCCACTTTCTCTAAATTCCCTTTTTGTCGAATTAAAATTTTCAAATGTTAGAAATTTCATTAAATCGAATCTTCATTTGTTCAAATTTAAATTTCCTTTCTGTTTCTAAAATTAAAATTGCATTCAATTTAGAGGAATCTGTAACAAATCATGATTATTTTTTAGGATAGAATAGTAGAATTTATCAAAATTATAATTATAATTATAATTATTATTATTTATTTATAATTTCTACAATTAGTAAAGTTTACTAATTCAAAAGCAGAAAGTCAATCACTAATTCAATTTATAGTAATAAAAATTTTTCTAAATTTGGAGAGTATAAGTGATAAGATAGAAGAAAGAAGATATCGTTTTGTCATTATAATTTTTATTTGGTATTATTTGTAAGTTCAAAAATAGTAAAAAATCAAACATTACTTTAAGGTTGTTTTTGCAACTATTCCGGTTGTAATTCTAACCAATGCTGAATCTAGGATAAAATTTGTTTCGCCGGTAATTTTAGGAAACCGGGGTAAAAATTACATTTCGGGGTAAAGTTGTATTCGGCTTCTTAGATAGAATGGCAAAAAGATGTTTTATTTTTGAGAAGTTCTTTTAGTTCCTCTTCTTCGTCGTCTTCTTCTTCTTCTTTTGTTCAAGAATGGAAGAACAAGTACGGTTAAAAGATTAAACGATCCTTTTTTGGGGAGTCAATCGCGGAATTCAATCGGTGTCCTGAGAGTCCCTTAAAAGGGAGACCGTCATTCTTCTCGAAATTCTTGTTTCTTCTCACTAAAACCTCTGTCGTCTCATCATCAAACGTAAGGTACTTGCTCGGTTGAGGTGAATTCCCATCACAATGGAATTTGATATTATTTCAAATTTTTTTCTTCTTGAAACGAAAATAGAAAAAAAAAATCTTATGAAAATTTTTCTATATTTATTTTTCTCCCTCTAATCTTCTTTTTTCTTCTCTTTCTCTCTACTTTCTTCCTTGAAGCACGTTCTATAAACCCATTCCTCTCTTTATTCTCGCGCGAGATCTCTGATCTTCCGTTTCTTATTTCGAGTTCCAAGAATCGAAGAAGCGGGCAAGCGGGGGTTTGTATCTCGGGTAACGAAGGTGGTAACAGACGTGTACGAAACGTGTATTGTGGGAGGAGTATCGGGGAGGAATAAAAGGAAAAAAAAACGAGGCAAAAGAGCAGAAAGAGAATCCAAGAGACATTCTCGTGTACAGTGCGAGTATAGGTATATACACCAACTAGCAAGAAGGCGCCTCACAGTGGTGTGCTACCAATTTTTTCTCACCTTCCCTCCCTCCACTTCTTTTATATTTTCAAATTAAAGCAATATCAGGCCTCGCACTCATCAACTAAAACCTACTATTTACTACTTTTTTATTACGATTTTCTACTATTTGGATCCTTTTTTTTATTTGGTACACTAAAAGCTACTTTTTTCCATTTTTGAAAATTTACACTACTTTCAATTTGTTAACAGTGAAAATAAAAAAGTTATTTTCAAAAATTTTAATAGTTATTAAAAAAAATCAAAAATTTTTTTAATTCTTTAAAACGATTCAATTATTTTCACAAATTTTTCGAAATTCAATGATTTTTATAATATCTACTATTTTAATAAAAAAAATCGACGAAAAGAATTGAATAATTCAAAAAAAAAAATTGTTTATAAAATTCTTGGCAAACATTCAACTATTTTCATAAATAAAAAAATTTTCACAAGAATTCAATTATTTAAAACAGAATTTTCCTAATATTCTTTGAAAAAATCAATTATTTGAATAGATTCTTTTTACATTCTTCGAAGGAATTGAAATCGCAGGATTTCAATTATTTTTAATACAATTTTATTTTTAATGAATTCCCCGAAAACTGCAACTATTCTTAAAAATTTTAATACAATTCTTTGAAAGGGTTCAATTATTTTTAAAAATTTTTTTAAAAATCTTTATAATAATTGAATTGTTTTTAATATAATTTTAATAAAAAATTTTCAAAGAATTCAATTATTTTCATAAATAATATACAGTATTCAAAGAAATTCAATTATTTAAAACACAATTTTCATAAAATTTTTTGAAAAAAATCATTTCTTTAAAAACTTTTTTTTTAAATTCTTCTCAAGAATGCAATTATTTTATTTATTTATTTAAATATAAACGGGCGATAAACCCTTTACAAAGTATAAAGATGAGGACAAAAACTTGTCGTTTTTAAACATTTTTATAATTATAACCTAATAAATTTAATAAATTTATTAATTTATTTATTTAATAAATAAATTTAATATAAATAAATTTTAAAAACTTTATCAAAGTGCGATGACAAAAATTCAATTATTTTGATAAATAAAAAAATTTTCACAGGAATTCAATTATTTTTAATATAATTTTAAATTGATTCCAATAAAACTCAATTATTCTTAAAAATTTGAATAAAATTATTCGAAAAAATTCAATAAAACAGAATTTTTTAAATATTTAAAAAAAAACCATTATTTAAACAGATTTTTATAAAATTCTTCGCAAGAATTCAATTATTTTTATAAATAATAAAATTCTTCTCAGGATTTTAATTATTTTTTTAAATTTTAATAATAACCCTTGTCAAAATTCAATTATTTTTATAAATATTAAAACTCATCGCAGAATTTCAATTAATTTTAATACAATTTTAAATGAATTCCGCAAAAAATGGAATTATTCTCAAAAATATTATTTTTTAATTCAATTATTTACAAAAGTAAAACAATTCTTTGCAGAAATTCAATTATTAATTAAGCTCTTGTATTAAAATCAGTAAAATTTCAAAAATTTGTATTATAATTTATAATTAGTCAAATTGTATTGAAAATTAAAAATTAATAAAATTTCCAAAAATTGTAACAAAAATCAGTACACTGTAAAAAATTTAGGGAGTTAACGGACTCGGGAGTTGGGAGTTAAATTTTTCGAGTTAAAAATCAACTCCAAAAGAGAGTTAATTTCTAACTCCCTTCATTCAACACCCGCGCGAGTTATTTTTTCCATGGGGAGTTAGCATTTGGGTGTTAAATTTTAACTCTCTTTATTTAACTCCCCAATGGGTGCGACTTTTATAGACCCCCCGGGGGAGTTAAAATTTAACTTCCTTTTTTTACAGTGTAAGATTTCAAAAATTTGTATTTATTATTAGTCAAATTTCAAATTTTTTTCCTAAAATTAGTAAAATTTGTACACTGTAAAAAAAGGGAGTTAAATTTTAACTCCCCCGGGGGTCTATAAAAGTCGCACCCATTGGGGAGTTAATGCCGGGGAGTTAAATAAAGAGAGTTAAAATTTCACACCCAAATGCTAACTCCCCATAGAAAAAATAACTCGCGCGGGTGTTGAATGAAGGGAGTTAGAAATTAACTCTCTTTTGGAGTTGATTTTTAACTCGAAAAATTTAACTCCCAACTCCCGAGTCCGTTAACTCCCTAAATTTTTTACAGTGTATTGAAATTAGTAATAATTCAAAAATTAATAAAATTTCTACTAAAACTAGTCAAATTAGTATTAAAACTACACTGTAAAAAAAGGGAGTTAAATTTTAACTCCCCCGGGGGGTCTATAAAAGTCGCACCCATTAGGGAGTTAATGCGAGGGGAGTTAAATAAAGAGAGTTAAAATTTCACACCCAAATGCTAACTCCCCATGGAAAAAATAACTCGTGCGGGTGTTAAATGAAGGGAGTTAGAAATTAACTCTCTTTTGGAGTTGATTTTTAACTCGAAAAATTTAACTCCCAACTCCCGAGTCCGTTAACTCCCTAAATTTTTTACAGTGTAGTAAATTCACAAAAATTTGGACTAAAACAAATTTGTATTAAAATTAAAATATATTTTTTTAACTATTTTGACTATCGATTTTTCTCTATGAAAGCGATTAGAAATTTTAATTAGTTTTTCTTTTAAGTGTTTCAAGAATTCGAAAAGTTTCATGTGCCATAATATGTCGAATTATCGAACAATAATAATTCACCAAAAAAAATAGGAACTTTCTAATGGCACTTTGCTGTGATAAATAGTCTAATTAAAAATTTAAGGTGTTAAATTTAAATATTAAAAAGATTCGATGGACCTGAGAATGATGACGTAATCGAACGGTCGTCGATCCTCCCAGAAGAAAAAAAAACCTTAATGATGCCATGTTTACCTATACCTAAACTATAAAGGATATACTTTGATTCATTCGCATTGAATAAATCGATTGATTATAACTGTATAGTATATATACATAAATGCCGTGTGTTCGTTAAAATATACCTGGAGGCTGCCTAACCAATATCTCAGTTAATGGAATCCATGAATAAACATTCACAAATGTTGCAATTTCTATTGCATAAAAATTACGTCTAAAAATGTACATATTGTGCTAAGTAAACCAAATTTTTAGTAACAACATTCAAATAATTATCGATACTGATGATTATTTTATTTTACCAAATTTTTAATGTTGTTACTAAAAATTCGGTTACTAAAAATTAAAATAATCAGTATGATAATTATTTTAATGTTGCTACTACAAATTTGGTTAATGTTGTTACTACAAATTTTACTGACAATTTTATTTTTTTTCTTTGCAGATCAAAAATGGCAATAGTATGGAGTTTCACGTTATCGTTAATGGTTCTTCTGACGAATTCTTTTTATCCACTTAACGCCCATCGTGAGCATAAGGTAAGGAATAAATTATTTGGCTATTAAGTCTACTAGGAAATGTATTTTCAGCTTTAATTTTTTGCTTTGAATTCTGATTTCATGACGATTGGGAAATGTTTTGACAATTTTCAGGTTCACAATATTGTTTTGTATCCGGATAAGCAGAGTTGGTGTAAAACAACGCCAATTAAGCAGGTTGTCACTTGGCCTCAATGCTCATCCCAAGAATTGGATAACAATGTTTGTGTTGGTGCCTGTTTCTCCTACATGGTACCACACAGTGAACCATCAGCTCCTGGTGATTTGATTCGACCCTATTGTGATTCATGTCAACCTTTGGACAGTGTTTGGCACACGGTTTGTAAACATTCTCTTACTAAAAAAATTAGAAAAAAATTTCCTTAAAGAACAGTATTTCTACTCCTAAAAAAAAGGGAGTTTTAGGAGTAGAAATACTGATTTGCTAAAAGGAGCAGAAATACTTTTTTCTTTTGCTGAGAGTAAACATAAAATTTATAAATTTTAATCACAGGTAACTCTCGACTGTAAAGACGAAGACAACAAGCCAATAACAATGCAGAAAAAAGTTCAAATAATCACAAACTGCTCATGCAGTTCTTGTTTAGAAACATCGAAAATCAAGCCCGACTATAATACACTTCTTCAAACATTATCAGAGGATAATCTCGATAAAAATGTAAATATTGTTCATGAAACTCCGGATCTTCTACTGAATCCAAATCTCAATGCTTCGAAAAATACATCAAGGGACGTACAGGCGAATGAAAAATTCCGTCAGCTCTTCAAACAACTCAAAGAGTCGGCGAAACTTGATGAATTTAAGGCGAAGGAACTGTTCTCGAAATTCGAAGAGGAGGAATTTGATTTGGAAAAGCTCGAGGAACTGATTCATAAATATGGTAAAATTGGTAGTGTTGTAGGTGGTGGTAGTAGTGGTACAGCTGCTGGTAGTGATCAACAACAACAACAACAACAACAAATATCAAAAGAAAAGGAACAGAGTAAAGAAGTTAATGAACCTAATGTACCACAAATACCAGTAGTCGAAGATGATGAGGATGATGATGAACTTCCACAAATACCGCATCATAATGTACCAACGCATATGCACCGGGGACCACATCATTCATTGGTATTGGAACCAGATGTCAAGGAGAAAATTGACGTTGAACCACATTATCTTCATCCAGCTGTTGCCGGACAGGAAATCAGTTATCATGACAATGTTCTAGTGGACAAAGCAAAGAAGAAAGAATTTTGAAGTCAAAATTAACATTTCGTGATTAGTTGATTACTTGACGCTGGACGCCATATTATTTTGGCAGAGAAAACGAAAATAAAAACTCTTTCGAAAGAGTGGGTGCGTGTTTAATGTTCGAATTACCTTATTCACTAAAAAAAAAAAAAAAAAATCTGTAGGTATGTTGAGAAAAAGAAACTGCAACCCTGTGTAGATAAATCGTAGAATCAATGAATCTTTGAAGGTATACGACCACAGGTTTCTATACTGTACTAAATCCCAATTTCAAAACAAGAAAAAGAGATCATCAAACTTTGATTCTAGAATCAGAATTATTGAAAAATAAATTGTGCCAAATAAATTCGAAAATAAATTTTAAATACTCTTAAAATTTATTCTCGAATTTATTAGATACATTTTTATCACTCGAGTAGAGAGAAATATTCAGTGAAGATATTTCTTCACTGATAATAAAACTTCTTTTGAATCAAACATTTTGTGACGCGCTCTAAAGAAAGGTGGAAGAAAACGAATTTTTGGTTACGTTTATATATTTATATTTTTTTGAAAGTTATATTTTAATTCCTTCTCCTTTCTGTATTTTCACTCGAACGAAAATTACGAACATAACCTAAAAATTAACCAAAAAAAAAACAATGAAGAAAGATAGAAACTTTTCTTCAGAGCGCATTGCATTTTATTCTACTCTCAATTTTTCGGCAAAGCAAAAATTTAAACATTTAAAGAAACAAACAAACATTTATTTTAACATCCAAATATTCAAATCACGATAAAATTAAAATTTTATCGTGATTTTAATATTTGCATTATTGGTAATTAAAAATAAACTCGAGTGGAAAATTAATTAACGAAACGTAAGAACAAATCTCTAAGATAATCGTACAAAAAAATTATCGATAATTACAAATTTTTATTCATGTGTAAAAAAAATAATACAATCATATTGATGATCTTTGTTGATGACGATGATTATGACGATAATAAGAAGTTTGAAATCCGGCTGGGAAAATGAGTGCAAAAATGATAAATCTGAAAATGTTCAGTATTTTACCTCCCAAAAGTTATATATTAAAAAATAAAAAGGATGTGAGTCTTATATAAAAAAAATAATAATTACGATATGTATTTTTTTGACAATATTGTGCGGAATTCTGCGCGCGTAAATAAATACGTAAATGATATAAAAATAATTGCAACTCGTTTGAAAAAAATATTACAATAACGACAAGAAATATATTATTATTTATTAAAACAAATAAATGGAAAAAATGAATAATATTTGTTTAAAAATAACATTTAAATGATATTTCACAACGATTGGGATCACTCAGGATATTCTAGGAATATCTATCGTAATCGGATTTGGAAAACATCAAGATTCTTGTAAACTAGTTCTTTGGAAATTAGATAATCCTTAAAAAAAAATTCTAGCGATATTCTTTGAAAATTGGGAGAAATCTAGGATATCCTAAAATTTTCCAATTTTTTTCAAATTAGAACTTAAAATATCACTAGGATTTCCTAGAATTTCTTAGGGATATCCCCTTTAAATTAAGGTACACCTAGAAAATCCTAGAGATATTTTTTGGAGACTAGAATACTTCTAGGATTAGTTCAAATTTTCTAGGGATATTCCTTTCAAAGTAGAAAATAGAAATTTGCTGGTATTTCCTAGAATTTTTTATGGATATTCCTTGTAAATTAAAATAATCCTAGGATATGCTAGAGATATTGATTTTAAACTAAGATAACTTTTGGATATCCTAGAAATATTCCTTGAAACTTATAATATACCTAGAATGTCCTAAAATATTCTAGAGATATTCCTAGCAAATTATGATAAACCTAGAAAATCCTTGAGATATTCCTGAAAAAGTTACAATATTCCTAGGATGTTCAAAAATTTTCTATGAACAGTCCTTACAAGTCAGGATAACCCTAGAAAATTCTAGAGATATCCCTTATAAAGAAAAATATTTGTAGAGTGACCTAAAATTTTCTAGATATATTCTTTGCCAATTATGATATCTCTAGAAAATGATAAAGATATTCCTTGCAAACTACGATAACCCTAGAAAATCCTAGAGAAATTCCTTGGAACTTAGAATATTCCTAGGATGTTCTACGATTTTCTATAGATATTTTTTGATAATTACGATACTCCTAGAGAAATTCCTTAGAAATTAGAATATTCCTAGGATGTCCTAAGATTTTCTAGGAATATTCCTTGCAAATGACGATAACCGTAGAAAATCCTAGAGATATTATTTGCAAACTACGATAACACTAAAAAATCTTAGAGATGTTCTTTGCAAAATACGATAAAACTGGAAAATCCTTGAAATATTCCTAGGAAAATTTACAATATTCCCAGAACGTTTTAAGATTCTCTAGGGATATTCCCTGCATATCAGGATAACCATAGAAAATCCTAGAGATATTCCTTGAAAATTATGATAACCCAAGAACATTCTATAGATTTTCCTTGGAAATTAGAATTTTCTTAGAATGTCTTAAAATTTTCTAGGGATATTCCTTGCAAATTACGATAACCGTAGAAAATCCTTGAGATATTCCTGAAAAATTTACAATTTCTCTAAGATGTTCTAAGAATTTCTAAGAATATTCCCTGCATATTTCGATAACCCTAGAGAATCCTAGAGATATTCCTCGAAAATTGGAATATTCCTAGAATGTAGGATATTCATAGAAAATTACGAAAACCAAAAAATTCTTAGAGATATTCCTTGAAAAGTAGAATTTTCTTGGAATGTCCTAAAATTTTATAGGGATATTCTTTGCAAACTATGATAACACTAGAAAATCATTGAGATATTCCTGGAAAATTTACAATATTCATACAATGTCCTAAGATTTTCTAGGGATATTCCTTACAAATTACGATAAGCCTGTAGAAAATCGTAGAGATATTTCTCGAAAATTAGAATATTACGATAACCCTAAAAAATCCTAGAAAAATCTCTTGCAATTTAGAATATTCTTAGAATGTCCTATGATTTTCTAGGAATTTTTCTTGAAAATTATAATAATCCTAAAGAGTCTTTTTTTTCTAAGGATATTCCATTTAAATTAAGATAACCCTAGAAAATCCTTGGAAATTGGGATATTCCTAGGATGTCCTATGATTTTTTAAGGAATATTTCTTGCAAATTACTATAACCTTAAAAAATTCTTGAGATATTCCTGAAAAATGCCAATTCCATGAATGTCCATAGATATTCCTTGATTTTTAAAATATTCCTAGGACGTCCTGAGATTTTTCAGCGATATTTCTACAGGTTCGAAATTATAATATCTCTAGGATATCCTATAATTTTCTAGGGATATTTCTCTGAATTAAAGATATTTCCAGGATACTCTAGAAACATTGCTTTTAAATAAAGATAACTTTAGGATATCCTAGAGATATTCCTCTTAAATGTAGGTAACCTAAGGATAGCTTAGAGATATTTCTTACAAATTAGAATATTCCCAATATTTTATGAGACATCCTAAGGATATTATTCCAAATTCAGTTGAACTTGGAATACTATAGAGATATTGCCAGCAAACAAAAATACTTCTAGGATATCCTAAGAATTTTCAAGGAATATTGTTATATTCAAGGAATATCCCTATGATACTAAGGATATTTCTTGAAAATCCCTAGGAAATTTTCTGGAGTTATTCTAGAACCAATAGATATCCGAGAATATCCCGAATTATCCAAATGCTGTCAGGAAAAGTTAATAAAAAATTATTTTGTCAATAATTAGTGAAGTGGTATGGTGTATAAATCTGTGAATATGACATGACCAACAAAGAAATGCGCTCTGTTAATACACAGTGCTCCTGGAATTTTACTCCTGAATGGAGTTAATTAGGAGTGAAAAAAAGAAATCTTAATATATTTAATTATTTTTAATATTTTTATTATTATTATTATTATTATTATTATTATTATTATTAATTGTTATTTAACTACCAGATACTAAGGAACCGTACAGAATACGTAATTTACGTAAGTTACATAATAGTTTAAAATGTACCCGTGTGGAAATGTTGACCGGGCCCTGGAGAGGGCCAGGTTTAAAACCGATTAAAACCACGAGACGAGAATTTGACTCCGATTACAATTGTATTTTAATTTTTTTAATATATTTAATTATATTTATATATTGTATAATTATATATTCTGAATATATTCTTATTTATCATGCCACAATTGGGCCAGGATAGGGCCTGATTGGAATAAGGTGTGTATATTTCTACACGGGTAGTCTCATTCTCTGTTGATTGCATATACTTTACTGTAAATTCTCTATAAAGAATAAAATTGTCAAACTGAATTTTATTTTTATTGAATCCTCTTGTAAAATTTATGACCGGGCTCTATTAGGGGCCCAGTTTAGGAAATGGAATCGAAAACTTTCAAAATTCAGATAATTAAGCTCTACTTGGAAAAGATTGTTTATATTTTATTTTTTTAATGATTACTTTGATCAATACTATCTCAAAAAGGGTCAAAATAGGGCCCAATTCGGGCAGAGTGTTTTATTCCCGCCTTGGGCCAGTTTTGGTTTTTTATACTTTATAACGCACCTGAATAAGATTTAAAATTAAAATTTTGATCATTTTACCACAAGAAGAAGCAATTTCTCAGACAAAAATTTGTAATCAGGTGCGGTAATTTGGGGCAAAATAGGACCAGACCAGGCGCAAATCGGGCAGGGTGTTGTTTAAAACCGAGTTCAAAAAATTTCAAAGCAAAATTCTTTTGCAAAAAAAATTTTCAAGACAAAAATTTCATAAAGCAGGAGCAATTTATTTTTTTTAATTAACAGTAATAATAATTTGTAAATTGATTTTACTTTCGGTTATGGTTTAACTTTTAAAGGCAATTTATTTTGAAATTTGCGAATTTATAATCTGAGTTGAAAAATTCATGAAAGTTTTTCGGAGAATCCTTGAAATTTAAGATGAAATCAGGGCCAAATAGAATGACAGATAGGACAAGATAGGTGGCATAAGTGCGTGTAATTTCAGATAAGGAGCACTGTACACGACCCAGATACATTATATATTTATTTAATTTTTTTTGGGGGGGGGGTCAGAATAATCAGAACTGGTTAGTTTTAAAACCCTTGACCTAAATTTCCTTATGGCTATTGAAAATAATTTATTAAGGAAAAAAGGTTTAAAAAATTATTCATTCAAGAATTCTTTTTATTCAATGATGAAATTTTTTGTCCAAGTTTTAGTATATTAATTCAATTCGTTTTAATTTGATTCTAATTCCTTGTAATTTGGTATCAATTCGTTTTAATTTGGAATTAATTTGGTATCAATTCGTTTCAATTTGAAATTAATGTGGTATCAATTCGTTTTAATTTGGAATTAATTTGGTATCAATTCGTTTCAATTTGAAATTAATGTGGTATCGATTCGTTTTCATTTAAAATTAATTTGGATCAATTTGGTTCAATTTGGTATCAATTCGTTTCAATTTGAAATTAATTTGGTTCAATAAGGTTCAATTTGGTATCAATTCGTTTTAATTTGAAATTAATTTGGTATCAATTCGTTTCCATTTGAAATTAATTTGGTTCAATTTGGTAGCAAATCTTTGAAAATTAGTATCAATTGATTGTAATTTGGAGTCAAGTTGATTTAATTTGGTATTAATTCCTTTTAATTCGGTATCAATTTATTAACATTTGAAATTAATTTGGTGACAATTCGTTTCAATTTGGAAATAATTTGATTAATTTCAAATTGATTAATTTCAATAATTGCAACTTTTTGCACTTCAGAATCAATTCGTTGTAATTTGGAGTCAAGTTTTTTTTATTTCATGTCAATTCCTTACAATTCGTTATCAAAACGTTTTAATTTGGAATCATTCGTTGCAATTTAAAATAAAATTTAGTTCAATTTGATACTAATTCGTTGCAATTCGGTATCAATTCGTTGCAACTTGGAATTATTTTAATTTAATTTTGTATCAATTCGTTTTAATTTGGAATTATTTTGATTTAATTTTGTATTAATTGCTGGCAAATTCAAATCGATTCGTTACAATTAGGAATCAAGCTTATTGAATTTGGTATCAATTCGTTGCAACTTGAAATTATTTTGATTCAATTTTGTATCAATTCTTTGCAATTTAGAATTAGTTTGATTCAATTTTGGATCAATTCGTTTCAAATTGGAATCAATTTTACTCAATTTGGTATCACTTTTTTGCGAATCGATATTAGTTTTATTGAATTTGGTATTAAATTCGTTGCAATTTGGAATTATTTTGATTCAATTTTGAATTAATTGGTTGTAATTTGGAATCAATCTTATTCAATTTGGTACCAATTCCTTGCAATTTGGAATCAATTCGTTCCAATTAGAAATCAAGTTTATTAAATTTGGTATCAATTCATTGTAATTTGGAATTATTTTGATTCAATTTTTTGATCAATTCTTTGCAATTTGGAATTTATTTTATTTAAATTTGTATCAATTCGTTTTAATTTGGAAGCAATTTTACTTAATTTGATATCACTCATTAAATTTGTTATCAAATCGTTGCAATTTGGAATTATTTTGATTCAATTTTGTATTAATTCGTTTCAATTTGGAATTAATTTGGTATCAATTCGTTTTTATTTGAAATTAATTTGATTCAATTTTGTATCAACTGTTTGCAATTCGAAATCAATTCGTTGTATTTTAGAGTCATGTTTATTTTATTTGGTGTCAATTGCTTGCAATTTGTTATCAATACGTTTTAATTTGGAATCATTCGTTTCTATTTGAAATCAATTTAGTTCAATTTGGTACCAATTCGTTGCAATTTGAAATCAATCTGATTCAATGTTGGGCCAATTTCTTGAAAATCGAAATCAATTCGTTCCAATTGGGCATCAAGTTTATTGATTTTGGTATCAATTCCTTCAAATTCCGAATTATTTTGATTCAATTTTGTATCAATTCGTTTCAATTTGGGTTCAATTTGATTCAATTTTAAATTAATTATTTGCATATTAGTATCAATTTGATTCAATTTGGTACCAATTTCTTGCAATTCGGAATCAATTTGATTCAATTTGGTATCACTTATTTCTAATTCGGTATTAATTTGATTAAATTTGTCAACAATTGGTTGAAGTTCAGAATAATTTTTAATTATTGTTTAAAAAAAAAAAATTATCTTATTTAGATGGTGTTCGAATATTATCGACAGTCGAAAGTATTTCTTGCCTTAATGGATTCGAAATGACCTCTTGCTGTCCTCTATCGGTTTCTCTCAACACTCAACAACTATTTTTTCAATTTCAAACAGTTACCGACATTCTTTTCTTCTAAATTCTCAAAAAAAAAAAAATAATATAAAACCAAAATATCTTTTTCTATCAATTATTATCAAAAAAGAAATAATTATTTTTATAAAAATTATCTTTTATTTTCTTAATTTAATTATGTTGAGTGTCAATAACAAAAAACAGGAAAAGAAAATTACACGGATTGAAAATACATTCTAAAAATTTTTTTTTTTTAATTTATTATTTAATTTTCTATTTAATTATAAATTATAATTTTTTTATCTTTCTTGAAAAAAATTTTCTTATAATTAGAATAATATGCACGGACATATTTCAGAGTTATAATATATGAAGATCACATTGTCCATTAAATTGTGATAAGAAAGACACAAATGGGGCAAAATATTAACCAATCAGATGTTAGTATTAATAACTAATCTAACCAAATATGTTTTCAATACAAGATCTTATTTTGTTTGAATTTCAGTAAGTAAAGTGTTGATTGAATAGCATGCGGGTATAACATGCGATTCGCGAAAAAAATTGTTAAGTTTTATGGATTTAATTATTATTGTTTTTGATTTTGGCTAATATGGACTAATTGACAATATGTGATTCAAATTAAACAGTGTTTCTTTCTTTCTCATCATCAATCATTCACGGATTACGCTTTATTTATCTGATAAATTTATATACAGAAGTACAAAATTTGTTTTCATCTATATTACAATCAAATTAAAATACAACATGCACAATGAAAGCGGTAGGAATGTTTTCTTTCATTACATTATGTACTGTTTCATGAAAATCCACTTATTTCATAAAATATATAATGTAAATAATATTAATATTAATTTTAATTAATATTTTATTATTTTATTATTTAGTTATTATTAATATTAATATTAATATTAATATTTTTAAATATATTTATATACCAATTTTAGGAAGAAAAAACAATTACAAATTAACAATACTTTCTTAAATTTAAACAAAGTAATGTATTTTTAACTGACACGGTAATGAGACAAGCCTTACAGGCACTTAAGTAAATTAAGAATTTTGATAAATGAGAATAAAAATATTTTCCAGTTGTTTCTCGTCAAGAATTTTTTAAATGTTCAAAATTATCCCAATATTATACTGAAATATTTTAATAAAATTGTTGAAAATAAATAAAAATTTGAAGGAAATAAATAACAAAATGTATTGGAAAATTAAAAAAAAAAATTCTCTGGTTTTCTTTTAAATTTGTACATAAAATTTATTATATAATTAAAAATAGTTTATAGCAGAAAAAAGTACTTTTTCTGTCCCATTAGGCAATATTTAATTCATCTCTTCCTCAAGGTATATAAAATAAATTGATGTTAGACTTTGATAATTTCAAGCAAACCGATAATTTAATTTTTTTATTGTTCAATGAAAATTACTCTCAAGCTTGTAGAAATACATTTTATGACAATGTCAAAAGATAATAATTTTATTATATCAATGATATTTTAAAAATAAAATTTTTAAATGAACAGTAAACAAAGGGGAATTACAGACAGCACCAATGTAGTCACATTATATTTTATATTATATATTATATAAATATAATATTTATATAATATTTTATAATATTTATAATATTATATAATATTTTATATTATTATTTTATTTTGTATTATATTTGAATTTATTATTTATATATTTTTTTCTATAATAAATACGTAAATACACATACACAAAGATATACATTGTTATCACAAATAACAAATTATTTTTATAATTATTTTATGAAACTAGACACTTTCCTATAAGTTTTCTGTTATAAAGAAATAATTTTATACAATATTGAATAAGAGAAAAAAAATTCATTCTCATTTTCTTAAATTAAGTTTCACTATTGATGATATAATTAATTGTTGTTAAAATTGCGAAAAGGCTTCTAAAAATTTGAAAAAAGAAAAACAATAAAGATTGAAATTTAAAACCAGTTTTAACATAAAAATTGTCGTAATTTTTACAAAATAATCTGTATTGCGTAATATGCAACAGGTGAACTGGAGTATTTTTCCTCACAATATTAATGTAACACATAAGGAAATGAGTGATTATTATTATTCTACGTCACTGTAATTCCTAAAGATTTTTATAAAATGATTCATTCTGCAGTAATTAATTATTTTAAAATTTATTATACTTACAATGATTAATTTTATGAAAATTACGAGAAGAAATTAACTCGGGTAGTATTCAGAGTACCTCATCTTTAGTATTTACTATTATTAGTAATCGTCTAATAAAGTGTGTAATGCTCTAAAATACTTAAAAGTATCCAACAATATTTAAAAGTATCCAAAAATACTCAAAAATCCCTAAAATACTATAAAAATCCCCTACAATATTTAAAAGTATCCAGTATAACACTCAAAAATACCCTAAAATACTATAAAAATTCCCTACAATATTTAAAAGTATCCAAAAATACCCAAAAATACCCTAAAATACTATAAAAATCCCCTACAATACATTAGAAATACCCTAAAATACAATAAAGTACCAAAAATTCTTAAAACTAATATAAAATACTAAAAAAATACCCAAAAGTATTAAAAATATATTTAATAATTATAATACCTTAAACTGTACACAAAAATAGTGTAAAATATCTTAAAATACACAAAAATACTGTAATATACCCTAAAATACTACAAAAAACCTCAAACACCTAAAAATACTATCCAGTACTTTAAAGTATTCAAAAATTAAAGAAAATACTTTAAAATATCAAAAATATTTAGTGGTACACTAAACTGTATGAAAAAATACTGTGAAATACCCTAAAATTTAGAAAAGTTACTAAAATACTCTAAAATACTCTATAAAATAAATGGAAATGCCCTAAATTACTGAAACATATAGTAGAACATTAATATAAAATACTTTTGTGCAACACCTGTAAGGAAAGTAATACTTTGCATGCCTGTAAAGTATGCGCAAAACAGTACTTTGCTGCACTAGTGCGGCAAAGAGCTTACTTTGCTGCCAAAAATACTATCCAACATTTTTAAAAATAAAAAAATTCAAGAAAATAGTTCAAACTACCCAATACACTATATATTAAAATATTCAACAGTACTATAAACTTTATTAAAAAAATACTCTAAAATACCCTAAATAATACACAAAAGTTCTTAAAATATTATAAAATATGTACTCTAAAATAAACAAAAATTACTAAAAAACTATTGATTGTTACCTTAAACGATACCGATGAATATTCAAAAATAGGGAAAAGTATTATGAAAAAAAAAAATAAAAATACAAAAATACCCCAACAAACTAAAAAATACTTTAAATTTAAAATACACCTAAAAATAATATAAAATACTGTAGAATACTCAAATAATAAAAATACAGTTAAATATCCAAAAATACCCTAAAATATATTATAAAATACTACAAAATACTCTGAACTATTCAAAAATACTTTAAAATTTTTAATAAACCCGAAAATTTCTGTATAAAATTTTCATTAATGTTCTAAACTATTTCCAAATATACTCAAAAATACAGTTAAATATCCAAAAATACCCTAAAATATATTATAAAATACTACAAAATACTCTGAAATATTCAAAAATACTTTAAAATTTTTAATAAACCCAAAAATTTCTTTACAAAATTTTCATTCATATCCTAAACTATTTTCAAAAATATTACAATTTTCTAAAATACTCTGTAATGTTACTTGAAAAATGAGTATAAGATTTACTCTGTAATATTTCAAAAAAATATAAAAACTTCTGTATATAAGAAAAATTAAAAAAATTTTTAATTATTACTGCATAACATCAATGTAATATTACTGCAATAAGTGCAATATTACTGTAACTTTACTGTAACATTGCAAACCAAATTGATACCAAAAATGTGGATCAAATCAAAAATTGATCCAAATTTTTGTTATCAATTTTCGGTTTCAATTTTTGATATCAATTTTTGGTATCAATTTTTAGTATTAATTTTTAGTATCAATTTTTTGTATCAATTTTTGTTATCAATTTTTGGTATCAATCCGCTTTAGTATAAATTCCATACTTTCAAGAAAACTATGATGCTACTTGGAAAAAAATCTATTATTTAAAAATTATAATATTCTTTAAAAATTCTGTTACCTTCTGACAGGTTCTACTGTATACGCAATATAGTTAAATCCATTCTGAAGTTTTATCATAAAAAATTCTCGTATTTTTTTTTCTTTTCTCGAAACCATAAAAATGTTTAAAAGCAAACTCAAAATCCTGGTAAATGGAATAAAATAATAATGATACACTAGATTGTATATCTACAGATATATAAATTATATATATATGTACTTTGGATTAAGTAAGTTATTGGCACGTGTACTTTTAGTTCAAGCCTTGAACTGATATTAAAACAAAATTAATTTTGAAAATAAAATATAACCTATATAATATATTAATAAACCCTTATATGTGTATATACCAATATGAATTTAATAGTGACGGAAGAAGTTGACTTCAGAGAAACTGTGGATATACTTCTTCACTAATTGATACTATTTCTGTATTTTATTTCAATTCAAGGTCTTTGCCTTTTTGGGTTCTTTATTAAATTAATTTCAATTCATAAATTTTAATTCATAAATTTTATTTCATAAATTCTATAAATAAATTCTATAAATAAATTCTATATATTAAATTCAATAAATAAATTCTGTAAATGAATTCTGTAAATAAATTCTGTAAATAAATTCTGTAAATAAATTCTGTAAATGAATTCTAAATAATATTTCAAAATATAATAATATTCTAAATGTGGGAATCACTGTTTTTCTGCGACTGTCTGCGACTATCAAATTGAGACAAAAAAAAAAAGGATCAAAAGTGTTGTGAAGCAACGGTTTTGATTTTTTTTGTCTCAATTTAATAGTCGTAGAAAAACTATGTTTTGAAAATTTTTTAAACGTTTTGCTTGGACTTTCATTGAAGCTGAAGTTTCTTCTAGTTTCTTCTTTTTGGAACTTGCAACAAACCAAATTTTAAACAAATTTTAACAATTTTTAACAATTTTTAACAAATTTTAAGAAATTTTAAACAAATTTTAACCATTTTTAAACAAATTTTAACAATTTTTAACCAATTTTAACAAATTTTAATAAATTTCAACAATTTTTAACAAATTTTAACAAATTTTAATAAGTTTTAACAAATTTTAACAAATTTTAAAAAGTTTTAACAAATTTTAACAAATTAAGTCCAATATTGTGTCAATATTTGGAAATGTTGAGTAAATTCTGTATTATGTCCTTCCTGTGGTAAGTGGGGGGCAATATTGAGGCAACATTGCCTCAAAATTTCCGGGCAATCTTGCAATATTTTCGTGCAGTATCAACTCAATATTGAGCTCATGATTGAATCAAATTAATATCAAATTTTTTCAAAATTTATTTACAATCATATTTGATCAAAAATGTTCCAAATATTTAAAGTTTTTCAAAACATTGTAATTTTAATATTCAAAAAAAAATTTTTTTTACATTAAATTTTTTTTTTATATTTGAAAAAAAATGTCAACCTCGAGAAACCGTGCAAAAGTCGATATTATACGTACAGCCCTGATGAGAACAAACAAACGACATCAGAACAGAAAGCTAACGCGCAAGTCTTCAGCTAAAGCCCAAACGATTCCTAATTCGTATACGCGTCGGGGATTCTGAGAATAATAGAGCGAATCTTATACAAAAATTTT